GGGAACACAGCCACAGCAGAGACATCCTATGGAATAATTAGTAATTTGGGGATGGGGCCCAAGGGTGCTGCCTGGTTCCCAGTACACAAGAGGCTTCTCCTTGCCCAACTCTTGGGGTAACTCTGTGCCCACTCTCATTCTGGAGTAGCAACGTTATTGTCAGTTGCTGTAGTTCCTTGGGCAAGCAGTGGCTGTCTGGGTAAGGCTCTCCCCACCTTCTACACTTGCAGCCTGTTTCATCAGTGCAGCCCTCAAATCTTGCCCACAGATACAACAATAAACCCCTGGAGAGGCTTATTCCAAACCAGAACAAAGTATTCTTATTCTAAAATAAATACATCTGTGTGTCTGCTGATTTTAGAATAAGAGTTCACAAAGCAATGGAGAGAATACAAAGTTAGCACGTCCTAATCACCCCTCCCTCTAGCTTAGTCCCATAAATAACAGTGCACTTATACATAGGAGACGAGATTGGGGTTTGGGGGTTATTTGTCAAAAGCCCCCAGTTTTAACGCAACTGTTCCCAGTTCCTGCCAGAAATTCCCTGGAGACATCCCCTTTACCCTGCTACACAGGAGTATGGCCCCAAACCATGCTTGAGTGAAGTCTGTTCTGCTTTGCCTGGTTGTTTGCTCTAACCCACACATCTTACAGCTACTTCCAAAACTGGGAAACAATACAAGTCACATTTTGTATGATCAGGTAACATCCTGCACACACAAGTATTCATTAAAGAATAGGCTTGGCACTCTGAGTGCCAGCTTCTGACTCCACTGTGACACAGGCACATTTTTATGCTCCAGAGGAGGTTTTTTTCATCATGAGAGACCCAACAAGAGTCAGGAGCAGTTCCTCTGATCAAAAGGAATCTGTGCCAGAGTCTGCAGCTTATTCACCCTATCCCTTCATGCCGCTGTTCACTGAGCGCCCGCTCTGCTCTGCAGTTGCCTCTTGAGAAAGGCAGAGCAAATTCCGCACTGTGCAGTAATAGATTAATAACAAATGTGCTGTTTGTATCAGTGGAAAAGGAATTTAACTGTTCCAGCATCACAGAAACCTCATACACAGCAGTTAGCAATGCTGGGATCTGTGAATACTTATTCCATCAGTATGGGTGTACCTGGCCTTGTTCTGGTGCTGATCAGTGTTGCAGATAGAAATGTTATTAATTTTAATAATGCTTTGCTTGTATTTAACAGATCAATTAAAGTAAAAAAAATAGCCAATATGTCACGAGCAGCCTGAAAGCCTTCTCAGTGTTAAGCTCATTTTCTCCACAGATCTTGTAGAGACTATTAATTTAAACACAGGGTCAGGGTAGGATTTCAGTGGCAGCGCTGCATCGCCTGTATCTGCTCCCTGGCAGTCCTGGCATCTCCAAACACACTTAGTGACTCCAGGCTGCTCCCTGTGCAGACACTGTGCAGTAAATAACTAACCACTTAATTAGAGTTTAAGTATTAAATTGATCTATTCTGAAAGCTACAAGTGTAGGAGGTGAGTTTTGTGAAGACAGGAACAGCATTTGCTGAATGTGCTCTGGATAACTTCAGCCAAACCCTGAGTGAGTGTGCTTTGGGTTGAGAGATTGAAAAATGCATCTGTTTTCCATGGGACTTGGCTATTTTTCCACTGGCTTCCACACTAATTTGGAGCAAGACCACAAACATTTTGACCTTTTCCATTAAGGAAAGCAGCCGTGTGTCTCCAAGGCAGTGGTAACCATGAAGTACAAAGTTGTGGCTTCTTTTTAGAGAACTGAAGAGCAGCAACTGAGGAGCAGCTCAGAGCCCCAGAAGAGGCAGGAATCCTGGAGCACTGTCCTTACAGCTTGCTGACTTCCAGTGTCTTGGATGTGTGAAGGAAAAAGCCCTGCTATGGCAGCCCCTGATGAGCGTGAGTCTCATGTTGTAAGCTCCTGGCTGACCATCTACAGCTGCTGAACAGACGCCATAAGTCCTGTAAAACCAAATGTCCATTCAAATCTTTCCACTACAGGAGAAAAAAAGGCAGCTTGGGATCTGATGTTTCCCAAAGCTCCCGAACTCCTGGCTTCTCCCTGGCTCGGCAGAGGCAGTGCAAAGGAAGCAGGAGCCAATAACGCTCCTCCCCAACCAACTGAAATAAAGTTGACTAACTGGTAGGAAAAATCAGATTCTGTGTAACTTAGTCAGCATCTGACCATCAATTTCCTTTGATGGAAAAGTGCTCCTTGAGGGAATTGAGCTGCTCCTGTCACTTGTGTCATGATAACCACATGTAACAAGTAACCACATGTAAGTAACCATTAGCTTTATATAATGTTTGGGCATAAAACTCACATGTCCTTCCCTAGAGAAGAAATAAATGATTATCCACACATGGTGAAACTGAGGCATCAAGAGGTACAGTCCCTAACCAGTGTTGTTCACAAACTCACTGCTCCAGCTACGTCTGGCTGTCAGCTCTCCTAACTTCTGCTCTTTTCACCACATGCCATTTCCGTGTTATCACTGCACACAGGCAGCCAGTGGCAAAAGACCATGGACTTGTCTTTCCCACCTTTTGAATATGCAATAGCAATGCTCAAATATGGCTTCGAATGTTCTGAACTTTTTCCTGAAATGAAGGAATGCTCCTCCAGGTGAGGGAAGAGGCAGACCCTTTGGAAAAAACCTGGAATTGTTTACAGAAAATAGCCCTCCTCATTGATTCAAATGGAGTAACTGAAATGCTGTTAATAGCTGTTAGTGTGGTGATGAGAAGCCCTATTTATTTAGTGAGTCTAAAGGATTAAAGATGAAACCATTTGAACTCCTCAGGACCCCTCCAAAACCTACTCCTCAACCCGTTGCCTGCCCAGCTGACTTCCAACTGCCAACACTGCCGAAAAGGGGATGTTGCATCTCTTACAAACAGCCTTTTGTTTGCTGCTCTGACACCTGCGAAAAGCAAAATTGTTATTTTCTTGCTGCTTGTTGCTAGTTTGATGCCCGCTCTGGGGCCCTACATCAGAGACACTGTTCAAAACAGGTTGCAGGGGTCCGTTTCTGTGCTGTCTGCCGATGGTGCTGCCTGAAGGAAAACCATGGAAACGGAGTTTGACAGGCTCGTGGGGACCCACGGCTGCCAGAGCCGCTGCCTTTGAGCGCCTGATGAAGACATCACAGAGCAAACACAACATTAAAACACTGCCGGCTGCTTTGCATCACTTAGAATGCAAATCTCTTTGTTCTGCTCGGCCCTCGCGTTTGGTAGCCAAGGAATCTGTGCCGTCATCTAACATGGATTTGACGACCTCATTTCCCTCACTATCACCTTCCTCTCTTCAACCACACACACCTCCCCCCTCCGCCCCCCCCCAAGAAAAACACCTCACCATTTCTTGCAGGAGGGAGGCTTGTGTGGGGCTGCATGTGTGAAATGGGAAATGGCTTTTTGCCGTTTCTGGGATTTCTAGGCACAAATTCAGTGCCCGTATTGCAGAGCGGAGTGGGCTGCATTGCTTTGTTGCTCCCTGTGTGTTATTTGACTTGAATTCATTTACATGGCAACTCACAGGGGTAAATTTTATGTCATCTTTATGCCACAGATTAAAAGGCAAAAGTAATCCTTTATTTGAGCAGCATGTTCCTTCCGACCTTCAAACCATACAGCTGAAAACAGAGGGGAAAAAAAACAGGCCCTCTCACACTTGTAATTCCAGTTTTATCATTTCTTAGGCTAAATTTGAACTATGTAGTTACTAATTCAACCCCCCCTTTTGTAAGTAGGCTGGAGTTTAGTGTTACTTCCCAATTGCCTTGGCCAGGGTCAACACTTCAAAGTGACCCATGCCCTGCTGCTCAGATGTGCCATTTCAGTAGCTCCTGACAAGAAGAGGGCATCCGGGAAGGGTTTTGTGCTGGTTGGAGAAACCCTGATCCTAAAAATACAGCTAAAAACCTTCTCAAAGTAGCTTCTTGGGAAGCTTGGGCTCAAGGGCCCCAGAAAGTAGCCTGTGACCTGTCCTTGTCCAGACTTGGCAGTAGGTGAGCCATTTAATGGAAAAATGGAACTGCTGCCTCATGCTCCATGTTTTCCTTATAAAGCTGGCATCCATTGGGAATGATCTATAGAAAGGCCACATTTTCGCCACCCTCATTTTCTGTGGGATCAGTTCTACAACTAGGAATATGGGACAGACACGAGGTTAAAGACATTTCTAAGTCATGGCTAAATCCTTTTCCTTGCCTTGCCCCTGCCACAGTGGATGCTGGTCTGTGTCATCTGTGAATCCAGCAAAATCAGGTATCTTCATACAAAAACAGAGAAGTCTGCTTGGACAAGGTTTTCCAGTGAGCAGCTCTTTTCTGCTTCCAGTACTGGTCCAAAGCTGCTTTGAGTCTCTTTTCCAGCCAGAGCCTGGGAAAAGACACACTTTACAGCATGGATTAACTGTCTCTGCAGGAACTGTTATTTGTGGGTGAAATCAGGTTATTGGAAAATACAACTGTACATCTCCATGCAAGTGCTGAGGCCAAGTCACACAGTGCCCAAGGAGATCCAGGTGCTCTCACTTCTCTCTGCTCCCCTAAGCTCCCTTGGGTTATGCAAGTCTTTGTGTCTCCTTTTACACTCTTTCCCACCCTTTTTCAGGCTGACTCCTAGAAAGACCTTCAATTTTCTTACAGACTCACTGACTCTGCTTTTCCTGACTCAAATCCCTCTGCAAGACCTTGCAGAAATGACATTTCTTTAAAATCATCATTTTGAGGCCACATTTTTCCCCTGCCCATTGATGTCCTCTCCGTTTGAATTGCAGGGTTTAGTTTTGACTGTGAGGCAAAGTTGGCAGGTTCTTGACTAACCCAAAGTCAGGTCAGAAAAGAAGAATGGAAACCAGAAAGGGAACCCAGAATGTCAAAGCAGAAGACAATCAAATTTCTGTGTCAGAAAGAGGGCAAAACTGAGGATGTGGGACTTCTTGCATGAAAAAATCTTGTAGGCAGTTATTTTTTCCCTCTTCCTTTCTCTCACAGTGGGACAAATTCCACTTTTATTCCAGTTCATCTGTAAAACATGAGGAGCCAGCTGAGCACAGTGTTGGTTCAGAATGAGAGCAGCTGACAAGGGAAAGGTAAAAGGAACTTGTAACTGCTGCAGTTCTAAAAAATTATTTCAATGTGACAAAAAATCTAACTTCCAAAGGATGCAGGAAGGCACTAGGACATCATCCAACATTCCCTGACATAGCAGCCTCCAAGGTGTAATTAATGCATTTAAACACAGGCCACCAAGTCCTCTTGTCTCATGTTTTCTAGAGGTGCCTGGTCCTGTTGTCCTCTCGTGCTTGGTTACAAAAGGCTGCAAATGAGGAGGTGGCAGCTCTGAGAGTGGGGGCAGAGTTAATGGTCAGAACTTGGGTGCAGGTGGAAAAGCAGGCCATGAAAGAGAAGCTTGGATAGAAAAAGGCCCAGACCTACTGCTTTAGCTTACACATAAGATGTTGGGGGGTATTTTGGGGGGTGAATTCTAACTCTCATGATCATTTACATATGTTGCAGACTGCTGTGTGTTACTTTGATTCGGGGACCGTGATACCCAAAGCCTGCCCTTTATACACAAGGTACCTTCCAAATCTTCCTTCATTATCAGAGACTTAGAAAATCAGTCTTCAAGGCAAACTGTAAAAGACCAGATCATGAGCAGCATGTAGAGCTTCCCATGGAGCATCCTGCTCCTCTCTGGCTACACCTCCTCCTCCAACCCTAGCTGTTTCTCCATCTCCTTAACACAGGGAGGTAGGATGACACAAAGCATTTCCCAGGGAACTGTCCCCACTAATAGTGGCAACAGTGCTGAAGTGGAGCCTGAATCCCATCAGTGGGAAAGCCCCCTCACATCCAGACAGCAGCACTGATCAGAGAGTCTGGGACTCCCAGGATGTTACAGTGTGCTATTAGACAGAGAGGGATATTCAGAAACAGTCTAATTAGTTGCATTTTCTTTTCTAACCTCAGTCAAAAACCAGTCTGATTCTGCTTTAGATTTTGACATCCTATTAAATGCAGAATACAGGCCAATAACTTTCATTTTCCCCTGTGATGCTACAGACTCCTGTTTTTATAGTTTGACAGAGAGACATAATTAGGCCTCAAAAAGGACAAGTCTGGACTATTAGTTCCCCACAGAGGCTCCCTGGAAAGTCAGAACCCACAGTTATTCTCCACCTTCCCACTGAGGCAAATTTGTGGGTATCTGCTCTCCTGCCTCCGATACCCTGCTCATAACCTTTAAGCCTGTGTCTTTACACTCTGTTCTCTTAAAGGGCACAACAACAGACAGGTGTTGGACTTTCCAAAGGGACAAGAGCAAGGTAAGGACAACATATAGCATTGCTAATGCTATAGGTGTGAGTGGTTTCAGTGCTGAACCCAGAGCAGCAATGTATTGCCATATTTCTGCCCCATTCACTGTTGCCCAACACAATTGGGCTTTAGCACAAAAGCTGTCACCAGAGCAAGGCATTTACTGACACTTGTTTCCTGGGGTCCTTGCCTGTTCTCCTCCTCTGCTTCAGAGTTACCTACAGCTTCACATTTGGTTCCTGAACAATCAGGAAGCAGATTCAGTCTCTGGCTACTACAAGTCCCTCCCTCCTTAGGCTTTCTTTGCCAAGCTGTACATACCAGCTCCCTCTCCCTTTTGGTTTCCAAGTGCTTGGGTGGTTTCTGTACCTCTCCTGTTGAGCTGCAACCTTGGGCATGCCTGATTAAAATGAGCTCTCATCCTCAATGTGAGCACAGCGCTCTGGGCCTTTGTTTTTCTAATAGCGTCATATTTCAGATGCATCTTCAGTTCATAATCCCCAGTAATCCTCAGATCCTGGTGTGCCTAGCCAGCAGTCCCTAATTCTGTGTAAACCACTTTACAGCTGTCTTTATTATAACTCATGTTACTGTTTTCAAGCCATTTCCCCAATCTGTCCACATTGTATTGAGTTTTAATCCCATCTTCCAAAGTGTTCTTCAACACATTGCCTGGGAATTCAACTCACAAGGAGTATCAGCTCCTGCTCCCTCTTTCCACCTGCTTCCCATCAGTGACCTGGGTGCACAGTCTGTTCCTGTGCCAGGGATGTGCAGTGCAGGAGATGCTGATGGTGCCTTTTTTTTTTCCTTGCAGCATGTTCCTTGCCTGTGTGAGACGGCAAACCTTCTCAAGGTTATTTTGCCACATGGAAAGCCCTGGACACTTGGTACCACAGAAACAAGGAAAAATTCTGGGCAGAGCTTATTTGCTTCTCAACAAGTGCAGTAAAATGTTTTCTAATAAGCAAGGATTAGTCTTCACTTTGGGTTACCACCCCCCTAACTAGGCTGCAAGAGCAACCAAAGCACTCCATCACCCAGCAGTGTGCAGTTGCTAAATATCCCCATCACTGACACTGGCACCTTTTCCAAGCCAAAAGGGCATCGGCCATGGGGAGCTGTGCAGATGCTGACTGCAGCACAGCACCCTGTAAGCACTCAATTAGCCTGGCCACTTGTGCTCAATGTCTCAAGCACTCGGTGGAAATAAAACGCTTACACAGTCCCTCTGCCTACAAGGCCTTGAAATCTTTAGGGGGCCTGGCTTTGCTGCCTGGTTTTCCACTGACAGGCTGATAGAGACATCACAAATCTCTCCAAATCACTAGGCTTCTTTCAACATCAAAGGTGTCAATGTTCACTCTGCCTTGGAGCCTGGGGCAATATAAATCACACTTGAATATGTGAACTGAGTGTCTGAGGTTAAACTCTCTCTGTATATACAAATATTTCTCCTTGGGTAACTGTACTGTTTCCTCATCAGTGTTGAATATTTTCTATAAATCCTAATATTCGAATGGAAAACAAAGCCTTACAGGTGAAAAAAGGGGGAAAAAAGGATGAACTATGGTGTTGTGGGAAGAGAATAACTCATTTGAAATATACATTGCCATTATTTTGGACTGACTATTTTTGAACTGATGAGGTTTTTTGTTGTGCTCTTTCAACATCCATCGTTAGGTTAATGTTCTCTTGGACTGAATTGAGTCTCCAGCCACAGGGATGTGAATCCCTTTCCCTGGACCCTCTTTGGTGTGTCTCTTCCCAAAAGCTCACACCTGCCCTCCTGCTCCTCCCTACAGAGTTCCGGCAGTGGTTGGCACGTGGTGCAACAGATGCCATCTCCTGGCTCAGGTCATTGGCTGGAGAAGGCACAATGCCTTGGTGGTGGCTGCTGGGAGAGCCTGATTCACCCTGACTGGCACAGTTGTGGCACCTCTGTGGGGGGTCTCCACTACCTCCAAACAGGAGACAGGACAGCTGGGGTTGTCAGTAAATTACACTGCACAAAGACAGCTCTCGTGCCTGCCCAGCCTTCTGCAGGCAGGGCCCTGGCAGGAGCTCCCATGTCAGCGCTACATCAGCACATTTGCACAACGCCTGCACCGCTGCCAACTGGCCCTGCCTGCTCCGAGCAGCAGCTGAAAGCACCTGATGCTGCTGCAGAGAGAATGTGGTCCAGCGTCTTGCAGGGTATTCAACAGATATCCTGTGGGAGAGAGCGCCAAGTCCCCAGGGGTTTTGTGTTCCCGGGAGAGAAATGACTATTAAATTCAGGCTGTTGGCCACCCAATAGGCTTTCTCAGCTCCAAGCCTCCCTGCAGTCACAGCAGCCAGTTCCATCCCCATGGTTCAGCAGGGCAGGGAGTGCAGCAGATGGCAGCTTAGCAGCCCCTGCATCCTCCTGCAGAGCACACAGCTCACCTGCCCCACCGGGACTGCTGCTGCACACATCAAAGAGGGATTTTTCCCTTGGGCAGCCACCCAGCCAGCCTCCAAGGCTTTGCACCGAGCAGGAGCAGGAGCTGGGAAACTACCTGGTCTTACATGGTGTGGGTTTAATGAAATCTTTCTTTATGACCTCTGCAGTAAATTGCCTGTGCTCAGCATTGTGTTGGAGTAAGTAACACCCGGCAGAAATTGTCGCGAGGCAGTAATTGCGAAGATCTCTGTGCCATCAGGCAGGGATTTTCATTTCATACATTAGTCACAATTTGCATATAATCATAGTCATAGTCACATACAATCAGTACAGCCCTTTGAATGTGAAGAAGGGAAAAGGGGAGAAAGCTGCCCAGCACTGGGGAAATGCATGTAGTTGCTGTGGGTTGTGTGGATCTCCCCATCACCATTCCAGCCACGCAGGGCTGCACTGCTACTTGAGTCACACACCCCTAACACAAACTCGGGGATTAAGGCAGGGAAAACATGCTTGCCTGACCATTTCTGGAAGGTTTTAGTGAGCATCCGGTGGATTATACACCAGATTTCCCATTACTGCCATTGCCCAAGCTGCAGTGACAACAGATTCCTGACCATCCTAACACAAAGGATCTTTTCCTTCTAGAAAACTTCATTACAAATATGGGCTCCCCAAAGGGATGGGGGAGTGTCTCTCCTTTGCTCGGTGATGCCTAAGCACATGCACCTACAGCATTCCAGATACCTCAGTAACAGACATTTTTTATTCACACTGCACTGGCCCCCTTCCTTCTCACGCCCGAATGTCCCTCAAGACCATGTTGGTATTCTGATTGCTGTCAAATGCACCAAGAAGTTTCCTTACCTTCAGACGTCTCAGCTTTTGGATGCTGTATAATGAGTTGGCTTTGGTTCCTGATTCATCCCGTGGCTACTCATTGTTGCAGCCGTCACAGCATGAGTGAGGATGTCAGCCTGTGCTGTGTGATCTTCACCCTGGCAGGAGAGACAGCCACATCAGAGACAGCCACACAACCCGAAAGGTCAATCACTTCTGTTGGTGTTGCAAAACCAGCCTGTGCTTTGGCAGGCTGGGGGCAGGCTGGTGTCACTGGACAGAAAGGGGCTTGAAAAGGCAGAACTGATGGACAGAAAATTCAGAAATATATTTGGTCCAGGAGACATTCATCACCTCAATCCTTCAAAGCCAGCAACCACAGCCAGAGAAGAACTGTGCTCTGGCACACATGTTCTTAATCCTTCTGTGGCAGAACAGTGTTAGAGTCAACATTTCAGGCTGTAACTAGTGGGGGAACTGTACCTGACCAACAGCCAGAGTATTTACACCTTTCTGGTCTCTGCTCTTAGATGTTCATAGTGAGCCCGTCACTCTGGTACCTCCACACCTCACTCCTGTCTTCAGCTTTTCACACAGCAAAAGAGAATGGCTTTCCCTGAGATTTCAAGCAGCCTTAAAGGACCACAATGGCATTTTTCACTCATTTATATCCCCTGTTGTGAAATCATGATGTGAAAATCTTTGTGTTTCAAATAGCGTTTGACTCTTCCTGGGTTTTTAGACAGGTAGGAAATTACTACCTTGCACCAGTTGTACCTTGTCCATTGACTCACTGGGCCCATCGCATGTCTAGCTTAAAATCTGCATAATGAAAAGAAAGCCATTTCCTTGCAATCCGTTCTCCTGTTCAGAGCTTCTCATGTGCCAGGTTGTTGTTTGTTAATCACACAAAATGGTATATATTAATGAGCTCTGAAGTTACATAAAGATAGATCTAAAGCATAAAACCACTAATATGCCCCGTAGCATTCAGTGCTTTGAACACGGAACGGCATCTGTGTGAGAGTGTGATTGCACGCAGCTATGGAAACCAGTGCCAAAAACCGAGGAAATGCTGAACAAGTGGTGCAAGATTGGAAAAAACCTGGGAACAAAGATATTCAATTTGCATTAAAGGCCTGGTTCGCCAGCAGCCCGAGTGTGCAACTTTCTGCTTTCAAATGAGTATTTTCTGGATCCACTGGCAATGTGTAGATTGTCTTTATCCTGAAAGAAAATTTCCTTCTCCCTCCAGCTCCCAACAGCAGTAAAGGGTGAGCTGGTTCCCAGGTCAGATGTGACTATTCCAAGCAGGACAACTTTTGCAGCATGGAAAGGTGCAAGGCCTTTCCTCATCTTTGCCTTCATCCTGAGCAATTCCCTACTTATTTCCAGATGGTGCCAATTAAAAGGAAGAACCCCTGCCCTAACAGTTGTTAACAAAACAAGCGCTATCTGAGACTTTAATGAGTAAAACCAGAGTCACATAATATGCTCAGGAGAAGCCCAAATGAAAAGAACAACTGCAGTTCACAAACACTTGGGTTGCTGCGTCTTCAAATTATGAATTGCCAGGGTTGGAGATGTGATTTGTGATAGGAGGGTTGCCTTCTACTGCCAAGTTCAGTGGGATGCTTTTGAGGCTTAAAGATAAGCACTCGGAGAAACCATTGCAGTCAGTGGCTGGGGCAGTAAAGCAGGGTAGTATGTAATTTATATGAGAAGGTATGTTTCTAATCTGTTATTGAGTTAATTTTATTAATCAACTGTTGGTAACTAGGATAGCATCCATTCTTTTAAAATACATCAGGTAGTGCTGGTTGGAAGAGCTCACCATCGAGACGTAACTAAAACCACCAGTTAGAAATGGAAGGCACGTGTGCTCAGGTTACAAACCAGATTCTCATGGTTTATGTCATGGGGAGGGAGTGAACTATTTTTACAGATTACCTGAGATGTAATGGATGAATCTGTCACTTGCAAACCTCACCTCGAGGGTGAGCACCTGCCTAACGAGCATTCTCTATTGCACCTGTGTGCAACTTCTGACGGGAGGAATACTGTGATATTTTTGTCTTTGAAAATGCTTCAGGTTTTTGCTATGATCTTATTTGAAGCCTGAGCACCCACCAGCTGGTAGGATTCTACATCAAACCCCATGCCATGCCCATCAGAGCATAAGCCTGTTAAGAAACAAAGGAAGAAATATTTCAGGCTATTCTTCTATGCTGATGTATGATACTTCCCTCTTCCATGAACCACCAGCACGGAGCAGAGCAGGTTTCACATGTTTACATCACATACTCCAGTCTTTGTATGAAACTTTATAGTGGGCTGGCCAAGAGGTGGCACTAAAGAAACACTGTGCTCTAATAATTAAGAGAGGGGTGGGCTTCCCCCCACCTCCCCACCCCCCTCACCATCTTCAGCTCTGATCTGCACAAATGCTGCTGCTCTGAGTACATGACAATAAACAAAGCCCAGTTCAGGTTTCTTGGCACACTCTGTACTGTTTGGGCATATGCTGCAACACACTAGGTCTTTAGGAAAGAACTGGCGGTTCCACTGCAAGGGGAGCTGTACCCCTGACGTGCAAACCTCTGAGGTTGCCTTCCGGAGCTCAGAAGCACTCTCGTGTGTCTTATTTCTCTTGTACTGCTGACTGAGAAGCCTATCAACGTCTAGGTTCAGATGCTCACTTGGGAATGGATCAGCAGGCACTTCTGGTCAGTGCAAATGAGAAACGGTTGCAGTGATCACTTCTACCATGAGCTGATAAATTCCCTCGTTTTAATTTTGCATCAAAATTTAAGATGACCAAAGCAGTTTGTAATTCAGCATCCAGTGTAAGAGCATCTTTAACAGCTCAGAAGAAGAAATGGATGCACATGGTCAGGAGTGCAGAGATTTCACAGGACCCCATCTGCCAGCTTCATGCAGTACATCTGTAGGCACAGCTTCCCAGTGGGACAGGGCCAGAGAGGTGGGGGTGCCCTCCATGGTACTGTGTCCTGTCACAGCAATGGAAACAACAAATGAACCTTAAGAGTATCATACTGAAGGACATGGGAGATAAGAGAAGTGACATGCATAGACCAAAGGTCCATCTAGCCCAGTGCTTTCAGATGCCCAACAGCAAGTACCAGAAAAGAGCAGGTATCATAGGGGAGTATTTTATAGCACATTCTCCCAGAGGGTTCCTGAACAGGGGTGCAAGCAGATCATGAAGTGTAACACCCACCAGTCTCCAGGTGACATCTCCCCCTTAAACCTCCTGTTCTCCCCACCCTGAAACCACCAAGCTTACAAAGCAAAGCAGATGGGCTTCCAGACTGTCTTTCAGAGAATAAGCCTCTACTATGGCATGAGAAGGCCCAGGGTAAACTCAGAACTCCCTCTCAGGGACATGTAGCTCCTCATACAGTCCTCATTGCCAGGGAGTTTTCTGTGAAACTCATAAAGGTTGTACCAGTTCTGACAGCGAGGTGACTCCCTTCTGCCTCCCAGACTCCAGGAACTGGGTATTTCTCAGGATCCCCTATAGTTTGTGCAGCCTGCCAGGTTCTTTGCTGCTGTTCTGTTTATTATTTATCACCAAGATGAGACAAGGAACATGAGAGAGATACAGCAGATCAGAAAGGATCAAACAGGAGAAGCCATTCATGGCTGGCTGAACACAGGCCTGGGATTTCCTACAGAAAGTCTAGGAAAGTGGATGGGAAAGATCCTTTGGTTTAGAGGAACCCCTGGTGTTTTGTCCAGACACAAGGAGTCAGTTTAGAAAGCAGATTAATACCGTACACAGGGATTTCTGAGCCAGCAAGCTGAGCCGTGCTTCATGCTGCAATCAGAAAAATTAAAGGCAGCAAAAGGTTACATCATCCAGGTCTTAATCCAGAGATACATGGACTAAAAAACTGTGGCACATGGTTAAATGCTTTGCTGGGTCAGAGACCTAATTTGCTCCCTGTCACTGGGGCTGTTCTCTATCATGGACGTTGTTTGGGCTAATTAAGACTCTGCTCCTGGTCACTGCAAGAGTAGAACCCAGAGCATGAATCCTCTGGCACTTCTGAGCGCTGTCAGCGCTTTGCAGATAACAACAAATAACAATGATAACAACCTTTGTGTTTGAGGTCTGTGCTCAGGGTGGTTTCAGCGGTGATCAGATGTGGCAGAGAGATTGCCAAGCCAATCAGGCCAGCCCCAACCAGTGAGAAAGATGCCCCAGATACAAATTTGGATGAGTTATTTTTGTGCACTTTTTTACCTCCCCTCCGCCTCCAACTTCGAAGTGTTCTTGTGGATCATCCCTCTCCTGTTCTTGCACTTTAGATGCTAAACTGTGTCTTTGCTGGGTCTGATTTTAGGCTTGCAAAGTACATTTGCTATTTTATGACTGATCTGCACGCACAGTTAACTTGCATGTACCTACTTGGTGGCTCATGGCCATTAAGGTGCTCTCTTGCTCCTGGATTCATCTCCTCAGTGCAGCTCACTTGCAAACTTACAAGGGACCATTCTGCAGTGCGGTGCACGATCCCACTTCCCTCGGGAGCATTCAGAAGCACCACTGCCACATAAGTAACATTAATGATGCCACAGTGCTCAGTGCACGTGCAAATTTGACACATCGTTGAGCATATATTTTGTGCATGAAATTCCACAATTGCTTTTCCAACAACATGCTCTGCTTTCTTTTATGAGATACCAGATTGATTCTTGAACCCAGCTGAAACATCTCCTATTCTGCTACATAGTAAAGAAGCTTCATTAACCTAAGTTACTACAAACATGTATTAAAGATCAGTAACATCTGGTTATTAACAATTAAAGTTTATTTGCTTGTCTGCGTTCCCTTTAGTGCTTTTAAGCTCTTTTAAGCCTGGCAGGACGGTGGCTCGCTGGCAGGCTATGGCTGTGAACACTAGATGGCACTTTGCAGCAAGAAAGGTTAAGAGCTTACGCAACTAAATTAAGACCTCATTTATTGCCCTTATTCACAGGGCAAGACTTCTTGCTCACCGCGTCCTCGCCACCTCGTTGGTGCTAATTTACTGCTTAGTCCACAGAGAAAATTCTGATCGGCTCCCGGACAAATTCTCGTCTTCACCAAGAGATAAACCTCTATTGATGTGATTATTCCATGATGAGCTCTAGCTTGTATTAATATCAAAGTACTCTGTGCTGTGCCTCAAGTTGGAGCATATACATACAGCATCTGTATGATAATAACTAGGCCAAATACCCCAAAAGCTGAAACTCTCCCTCCTGATTAAAACACAAAAACGGACCCTGCAGTGACCTTGTTGCAATTTACCAAACTGCAGCATCAGAAAACCAGGATGGGGCTTCAAGTTTATAGATTCCTCCTGCCTCTCATACCAGCCTGTGTCTGGTACTTACTGGATCAGTTCAAAGGGCCAGATGTTGTCCTTTGTTAGTGGCTGGAATTCCCTGGCCCAAGGGGAGCTGAGCAATGCTGTGTTACTCACAGCTACGCCACGACGGAGCAAAGAGAAAATAGTCCAGCCCAGCAGGAAGGAATCCTCCTAAAGTAGTAGCAGGGAGACGTGCAGTTTCCCATAGGAAAAGCTGAGGACAAGGAGCTTCCCTTTTCCCTGCTGACACCTGGAGCTTACACCAGGGCCAGCATTCATGTGAACGTGGCTCCTTCTATTTATCCCTGAGGCTACACTGGAATAGTAACCCACAGCTAGCCTTAGCCTGCCTTGCAGAGGAGGTACGTGAACATGGTCTGGAGCATCCTCTTCCTCTCCTGCAAGCTGAGGTTTCACCCCACCCTCTCCCAAGCCTGGCCTCCAGGCAGCACCCAACCCTGCAAGTGCCCTGCAAGCAGGGCAGGAAAAAGGGCTGAGGCCACAGTAAACAACTTGCTGCTATCTATTTAGGTGCAAGGTTAAATGGCCATTGATTACACAGTAAATGTGATATGCAGAAGGCTTAAGGCTGCCCTCAAGACACAGGAGGAGCTGCAACTGCCCACCCTCCCAACATGTGGGCTCCTCTGCACAGAGCTCGGTCCCCACAGCATGTTCCAGGGTACCACACCAATGCCAGATCAACACTTACACGGCAGTAAAGGAAGAGCTGGCAAGCACCAGCTCTACACCCACAAGAGCAGAAGGGTTGTGTTCTGCTGTGCAGCGTACAAACAGCCACACCATGGCCTTTCCTGGCCCTTCTTCACCTCTTCCTCCAGCCATCTCGCAGATAACATCCAGAGTAAATCTCCCACTAGTGCTACTTCACCTGTTCCAGAAACCTTTTAATTCTTTTTATAGCTGTTATTCCTTTAGATGGAGCATCTGCCTTGGCTGTCAACTGCTGCTACTCCCTTAGAGCAGCAGTGCTCCTGCCCAGCCTGGTCTTTCCCAAGGTCATAGCTACTTTCAACACACACCATGACCTTCTCACCTTCCACAGTTTTAGCTTTCTCTTTTAAATAAAAGATTTCTACATTTTTAAAGGCATTACCTGGATTATGTATCTGCTCTCTTATCTGCACAGCTTCCCCTTATTCCAGAAAGAGATGGATGATTCTCAAAAACAATTACAGTTTCTGATGCTACCACAAATAGTGTCCTCCTCTAATTCAGTAGTTTCAGTTCACATTAGTCTCTCTCTCTTTGTTCTGCTTTAATATCGTTTTCCAGCTCCTCAGACAAATTCCAGGCAAATTCAAGAGGACTTTTGTCTAAGGGCTGAATAAACATCTTAAATTGTACCCTAGCCCCACAGCCATGGCTGAACAGCACCGTTTAACTACCAGCACACTGCTGCTGGCCTCCACTGTTGGTGTTGGCTTCATCAGAGATGGCTGAGACAATGAAACAGAGCAGGCTGATAACAAAAAGGCGCTGGCCTGGAGCCTGGATGGGGCCACACATCACTGGAACCAGTCCAACATGGGACCAGCCTGGCTAACCAGCTGGAAGCAGGATGCAGCGGACAGGGGCTGGCTTGGCAAGGGGCTCATTGCTGACACCTAACGCTCACAGCCTCCCATAAAACACCCAAAAAGGGCCTCATCCAGCACAGCCTCTGATTAAAGAACCCTTCCAAACCAACCAACAGATCATAGCATATTCTTCCTCTCCTCACAGACTACAGCCTTATTAACCTAATAAAGACACTTCAGTCTCCTTTCAGTTCAGGAGAATTCTCCCTATTGTTTCCACAGAAATCTCTTGGGATATGCTGCCAAGAGCATGTTTGCTGTCGCATTCCAAGTTGCTTGAAATAACAAAGAATTATCTGTACAATTAAGATCAGGCTGTACAATTTAGATATGTGCTTTAAAAGAGTTATTATTCTCTGCCAGAGATGTATTGTTCTTCCCCATTTAATTTTATTTACTTTTTTAGTGGATGCAACAGTTATGCTGTCATTTATCGGAGAAGAAGGAAACAGCAGCTGCAGAGCTGCATATATAAAATAAACATGATGTGGATGAAGCTATTGGAAGCTCAGATTTCAAGGAGGAGTAGGGGGAGGATTGCTTTTAATAAGATCTCGTGTCAGTAAAGTTGTGAGATGGAATGGCAGGGTCTTACCCTATTAAAAATCAGTAACAATTCCTTTCTTTAATGGAAGCCCGGTGTTAGCACATAGACAGAGGCCTTAATTTGAAAAGTAAAAGGCAATTTGGTCATTCATGTTCAGACGTCCTCAGGCGCTCTGAACACACTCAGTTCTTCTTAACCCTTTGGCTGCGAGAGCCATACAGCACAGGGGAGGCAAAGCCAGGCTCTATTTATCCTGTGGAACAAGACTCTTTCCTTCTATCTGATCCCAGGAAGGCAGGTGGGAGGCCGCCGTCCCACTCCCACCTCTGACGCTGCTTTGTTGTGTTAGCTCGGGTGAAGCGTTTCACTCACCGTCAGTACAAACACAGATGCTGATGCTATCAACGGCTGCTACTTGTTTGTTTACTCATCTGTATTAAGCTGGTGAGTAGGAACCCCCTGAGTACAACAGCACCAGAGCAGAGCCAGCTGCAGTGGTGTTCCCCAATAGGACATCACATGCTGGGACAGGTATCTGCCTGGAGTGCTCTGAGCATGTGCAGGCAGTGAAAGGTCTGTCCTAAGGTAAGCAGAGGCAAATGCATACTGGGGCTTGGTGGCCTGACCCCCACAGCCTGGTGTAAGGAGCAGACAGTGGCTGTAGGGTGCCTGCACCTCCCACCTGCATGCACCTCACACCATGCATCACAACCGAGGGACATGGGGAGCCAGGGCAGCCAAGCACAAAATCAGGCTGAATGAACAACCTTATCGCAGGTGGTTTATAATAAAGCCAAAACCATTTTGTAGTGGAGCTAGATTCACCCACAGGTGATAACAGTAATAACACACATACTCCTGTGGTATATCACTGTCTGCTCAAGCAGCACCTCACTTGAGATGGAACTGCAGGAGCTCGGGACGACTCCAAAGCAACCAACCACCATACACACACACACAGGCAGTTCTATTGCAGGCATTATTTCAGTAATAGCATAATTGTGCAAAATATGTATTTTCTATAATTGTATAATCAGCATGTAATTATATAGAGTAGAAAATATAAACATATATTAACCAGGTGAATGCATTTATTATTCAAATATAAATTCCAGTGGTAACTGCAGTAGCGTCAGTCTGCACGTGTGTGTGCAACTAATAGAGGATTAGAATGAAATCTGTTGCATTTGGATAAATACCTGACACAGCTCAAGCCACCTCTGCACAAGGACTGAGAGATCACAGTGACAACACAGTAAAGGCACCAGAAGACTTCAGCGTTACATCTGCATTAGAGGTCTCCCACCAGTTTGAAGGACCTCTCATTCATTCTGCTGAAAACCACAGCAGAAACAAAAGGGACAGTTGGAGCTTCCTTTGCAGAGCTGCAGCTGCACCATGAGACCTCCTCGTACAAGGAGCCCAGCGACCACCACATCTGACACTAGAGCTCACGAAATCACCATCTAGCCCTCTTAGACCCAACAATCTGACCTGATAAAAAGTAGTACAGCAATTCTGAAGGAAAAGTGTTCGATCTTTGACCTTTCACTCCTGCTCCTCCTGACATCAGCCGTAGTTGGCCACTGGAGGCAAAATTAGGCCTTTAAGGGTTTATGTCTCATCTAGAAGAGCCATATTCCAGCAAAACAAACCCATTAGCCTAAGCATCTTCCAAGAGAAATATTTTATCATATGGAACAGCTCAGGGATTCAGCCTTCAATGAGGACTGTGCTTCGATCACAGATGGGATCTTGGGAACTGCACTAAATCACAGATGGTATATTTCTTCCTATCATTCACAAAATGGGCTATTTCCACTGCTTGCTGGGTTTTCTTCCCATCTCTGGTTTTTATATTTTGCACATGGCAATTGCAACATGGATACAATTTTTTAAAAGGGCCCTTGAAAACATTTTCTTTTAATGATGCATGTAATCTTTCCCTCTTCAAGAAATCTAACACCAAAATGTCATTCTTTTCAGAAATTAAAACATACTTAATTTCAATAGCATTGCATTTATGGTTTATATGCTTTGCTTATTTATCTTCTCTGCCATTTCTGTTTCCTTGGATAAGCTCAACATTCCCTTGTTATCTCTTGAAATACTGCATCAGCCATGAGCTACTGCCTAGACTGAGACACGGCAGCTTCTGCTGCTGCCCACTCATGGGCCATGGGCAACTGGTGGATCACACATTCATCCTCCTTACAGTCTGCATTATCCTGATTCTGAATCACAACCAGCTGAAGACAGCAGCAAAGCCCAAATTCACACCATCGGCTCCAGTCCTTGAGTGTGAAGATGTATTTAGGCACCTATAAAATCCCTGTGCAGTTAAAGGAGGAGTATGGAAGGAGGGAAGGGGCAGAAGCAGAGAAAGGAGCATCCCCTGGCACATCACAGTCTTTGGAGCAGCTTCTCTCTCTGTTATCTAAGTAGGGAGCCTAAGGCAGGCAGGTACTTCACCAGAGTTAGGGAAGGGAAAAGAATTTGGACATCCTCCAAGCAACTTAGCCTTAAAACAACAGATGGAAACAGAGAGATAGGGGGTCCACAAACAGTCAATGAGATTGTGATACGAGTTTGCATAATACACGCCCGGCTCTGCACATCAGTGCATCTCCTCTTTCTAGCTGCTAAGTGACAGCAAAAAAAAAAAAAAAAAAAAAGCCAAAATTACATCTAATACTTTCCTGAAATTGCTTCATTGCTTTTCCATGTAAACTGCTGCTATAGCTGGCACAGAGTTTTATTTGTTGCTGGCAGGAGAGGAGGACAGCCTATACAATATGAATAGGAGAAAAGGCAGCTATAAGCAAATCTCTCTGTTCAGCCACAATCCAAAAAGATTCAGAGCTCCACATGTTGCTATCAGTACAGTAACAACTGGGCTTCTACCAGCATCATGCTGTGATCCAACCTCTGGGGATCCTCTTCTATATCCATTTAACTTTTCCACCTCATTTGCTATCACAAGATGTTCAAATGCTGTTGTCATTTTGCTTCTGTTTTGTATTTACTGATGTTATCAAATATTACACTTCACTGGAGGGTAATCTAGACAGCATTTCATGCCCTCTTCAATACAGAACTACTCAAACACTCGTGCCAGCCCCAGAGCTGAACAGCAAATCAAACCAAGACTCCATGCAAGGCAATGGTAATTGTTCCACTTGCCTTTGAATCAGCCTTTTGAAGAGTATTTCTAATTCACACTGAATCAGGATTTAATAATCCTTTGGCACTGAGAAGAGCTCAATATTGTGATGACAATAAATCATGCTCAGGCTGAGTAGGCGTTTGTCACTTACCAATAGCTGCACTTTCGGTATCTTGTGCCCATCTTCCTGACCCTCAGAAAACATCCATAGTGATCCCTCAGGGTCACAGACCAGGATTTTGACCTACCCAAGAGCAGCTCCAAGCCCTACCATCAGTGCTGGTGCCTCAGATGTGATCACACTGACTAGCACATTCTAATTCCACAACCTCACCTCAAATCCTTGCCAACGTATATCTCTCACAGACCTTTAGCAGGGGAAAACGCATGCCCAACACAAGGTCTCAGAGGGAGAGCAGCCATATTTGCCACCTCAGATTTCACAGCACTCACCCAATACAAACTCACAGCATGATAAAAAGCCTGACAACAGGGTTGTCCCCATACTACATCACAGCAAAGGCCCAGTGTCCTGTCTTTGCTGGGTCCAGTGCTCACTAGATGGTCTCCTGCTTCCTGTCAATCAGAAATTAGGGTCTTCTTGGATTAGGGGTTGCTTCTGAAGCACCATTTTCCAGGGCCAGGAAAGCATCCTTCCTCAATTTGCTCCTCATTTAATGTATTTCTATTCTCTGAGTTTTCCCCATGACTTGCTCTACTTACTTGAACATGCACGGTGTGAAATAGTATTTATTTTGCTGTTGTATGCTGCTAATGTGCCCCTCTCCCAACTCTGCCTTGTGGAGAAGAGGTGCTGTACTATCAATCTGGTTTCCTTTTTGGCCAGCAGGTGAGAAAAGCCAGGAAACTGGCCAGGCATCTGTGTGTTTCACTTAGCATCATAACCAGGATGCCAAATAGGGTGTACAGTCTTCTGACTGCATCTCTAAAAGCTCCACAGCTGGAATGGATACTGCTCATGGATTTTAACACTCATGCACCCTCTCCCATACAGCCCAACTATTCAGCCTTTACGAGGGTAAAGTGGGTATGAGCCTAAACGGTTCAGATGCAGGGAGTCTGTAGTCATGCCACACATGATTTAGTGAGTAACTGATGCAAGGCAAAAGGATGGCAGAGCTCTGTGATCTAGCAGCTGTGCAAACAGGCTAGAGAATATCAAATTCAGGAAGCTGTATCTCCAGGAAAGCATTTAAAAACAGAAAAGATCCCTAGTGCCACATCTGGTGGCATCAAATTGTCATTATGACATGGTATTTAAGATGATTTAATGGGTTTATTGCCGAGTAAGAACCTTGGAGTTTGCTTAAACTACTGTGCATTAAAAGGATGTAACACTTCAAATGATATTCTGACAAAGTACTGCCTAAACAGTTCATTATCTTTGAGGAACACACACGTATGTACATCAGCATGTGTGTATATGGAAATAAATGTATCGATAGGAAGATGAATAGAACTGCACATCTACATATACATATATTTAACAATACACTACAGAAGACTCATATGTTGTTAGAGCTTTCTTCTGGAGAAATTCATTCACCCCCTTGCTGCCACTCTCTTCTATACCCCATACAGCCATCCAGCAGGCAAGATTTCTGTCCACCTTAATTACTTCTCACTTAGGGCACTGAATCAATGGGTGGTTTTGAAACAAAGGATTCAGTGACTAAAAACAGCCTGAGAAAGTGCCTGGGAAAGGTTACTGATTATAGATGACTTCTAAGAAAAGGTGTCCTGCAAAAGAAAAGGTGTTTCTTCTCTAGTGGAATATTTTTAATGTGACTTAGTGTTTCTCTTACCTTTAGTTCCTGGAACAGTTCTCATTTCCTCTGAATGTTCTGACTTCTTATCTCAGGCCCTTTCAGTGTGTTGATTTTAAATTCAATCTGGTTAATTCAAATTCAAGGCACATGGCTCCTGAAGTCTTTCACCATCTTCTGATTACAACAGAATGGGGCTGTTAACGGTGTGGGGTTTTGTCAGTGAAGAAGAGTGCAAGCTTCTTTTTACACTTACTCCTTTCTTACTAGATCGACATGACACACTGCAAGCCAGTCAGACAGTCTCGCTTTGGGTGTCTGACTCAGGTGGTTCTCTCTCCACTGACTGCATACAGAAGGGAGGTTTCTGACCAGAGGTGCTCTGATGTGCACCTGGGATAGATGCCTTAAGTGAACAAAACAGATCACCACCTGCAAAATCATACACTGGTGCAGATTTGTCCAACCAGTCAAATTCCTGAACAATTCCATCAAGTCACTGTGAGCTTTTCCATCACCTGTGGCCATTTTCCACTACCAATACGTTTGTCTTTTAGCATGCGAATAAAGTGTCAAAGCATAGTCTGTCTCTGCGAGGCAACTCTGTGTGCATGTAGCACACAAGTAAAAAAGGCAGTTTTCCTCTGTTCCAGCCTGACTTAGCTGTTAGATGCCAGAATTGACCTACACAGAATAACAGGGAGCTGCACACACCGCAAGTAAGCCCTGAGACCTCCCTAGTGCTGTGCCTACCCTGTCAATGCAGAGCTATGTATGCCTGCCCTTGGGCCTCTGCTGACATCCCCTCCACACGGTACCACAACACAGCTCGGGGCTGGCTCTTCACTGGGAGTCTGCCCCATACATTTAAATCTTCGACTTTATTTTCTATGTATCTATAACATAATGTTAATTTTTTTCCCCTATCAAAATCCATCTCTTACAAAGCAGAAAGGAAGCTGGAGCTTGTTTCTTCTGAAAGCAAGCCAGCTTCATTTCAAAATGGGAAGGAAGGGGTCTTCAACAGCCAAAGGGTTGTTTTTTTCCTCTCTCTTTTTTTTTCCCCAGTAAGGGTTGGATAGTGAATAATTGGAAGAGGGAAAAAAATCACCTCAGGTTGTATATTGCCACTTCCTCTTGCATTGCAGTTAATGCAAACCTTTGATTAGCCTGCTGAAGAGACCACACATTCAATAATTTGAAGCAAAAGGTTAATGGTGTTATTACAACTATTATCCCTTTTAAAATCATTATCCTCTTGTTTTTTATGTCTATATTACCTTCACCTTTCCATGAACCCACTTTACCAGCTGTTTCCCTCTGTCATAAAGTTTGCTGAACATCATCCTAGGAATAGGATAAATGCCATGTTTTATCAATCAAGCCTAAGGGAATTCTCAGCTTCTCATAACCCAAACTGTAAAGGGAGATTATTACGAAGTTTCTATTTTGATTTTTAAATTGGCCATGAGTGAAATATACACTTAATGTCAAGGTGCAAAATGTTGCAATTATGACACCATTTTCCTTGGCAAGTTTTACAGAGCAGCAAAGTGTGAAAACTGAAGGCTTAGAAAAGACTGATCAATTGTAATTAACTTTAAATTGGTTATTTGTTAGGAGGACAGATAGTCCAAGCAAAAATGCAGCATGACCAAACGAAAGATAAAGTACTAAATGGAGGTGATAACCAGCCCTATTTCTAAAGCATCTTCCCAACTTAGGAGGCTAAATCCTACTGACTTTCAGGAAGCCTTATGCTCCTATCCCTCATACTGGAAAATGTGAATTAACTTCCTTAATTTTCAGAGTGACATTGACCTAAATCCATGGCACTGTCTGAGATGTGTCTGAAAATGCTCCTTTCTCTCCAAAGACCCTAGGAGGATCCAGATTGCCTAACTTCAGCCACCTAGAGTTAGTTGCTCCGTCAACCTTTGAGCTAAACCTTTGCTCTTTATAACTTCCTGGCGCAGCTGTTTTACAGTTGGCACCTCCTGTAATCCACTTCTGTGTTCTTCAGATCCTGTGGACACCAACAGTCAGTCTCCATCAGTTACACATCGAGCCCAAGATTTAACATTGGGCCTGGAAGAAATTGTCTATACAAAAGAAATTTCCAGTGAACTTAGTTAAACAATAAAACGTGGAGGAAATTAAAGCCCTTAAACCAGTCAAGTTTTGTAAGTGCTCAGACTTCATTATACCACATAAAAATATCACACTTTTCCTGGAATTTGGAAAGAATCTGTTCATGATAATGCCTTGAGATGAAAATACATTCTTTGCAGAATGGCAACAGTGCAGCATTTTCTGAGCTCTTAGTAAAAATAAATGAAGTGCTCTGTGATTGCTTCCTTTGAACATGGAAAATGCAGGTAGCGCATACTAATGTTTTCCAACAATAGCCTTTATCAGGGAAAAGCTGTGATCTGGACAGATATTTAAACAGAACAAAATGCAGGCTCTGCCTATGGCATTTTTATAATTATGGATGCACAGGAGAAGTTAATACCTGTACAACTCAGAGCAGTGGTGGCAGCAGAAGTGAGATATTTTCTTTTTCTCTTTTTCAAATTCTGACCATTTTGCTCCCAACTTCTGAGTGGCAATTCAAGAAGAAAAAAAAGGGGGAAATTTGCCACGTGAAAGATGTAATAAGAAGCAAATTCCGACTACAAAAGTCCCGTGATTGACGTGGTCTCGTCATTATCATTGAAAATAATCTTCTGGTGTGTTAGAATGACAAGAGGATATGTAATGTTATTCTGATACAAGAAAAGACTGTGTACATTCATTGATCCAAAGAATTCTAATTCACCCCATGCAGGAAGATAAGAATCACCACAGCAGGCAGTTAAGAGTCCATCTAGCCCCATATCTTGGCTCTGACAATGCCTAATACTTCATATTTCAGAAGAAAGTGTCAAAACAGCAGCTTCATTGTGAGCACTTCTAAAACTGAACAGTATTAACAGTAGATGTGTTCTTATCTCCTGTGCTTTTCACGGCTTGCTGACCATTACTGGCTTCCACAACAACAGTTACCATAGCAAGTGAGTTTTATGGGTGTTTTCTTTTCCTTTTATACGTGTATATTTATGCATACGTGTGTACAGGCATGTCTGTAACACAGATAATACATACACATGCAATAACTGAAATGACAGAAAATCCTAACCTTCTTTTAAAAAGAAATAGAGGCTTAAGCAGCTATTTCCAGCCCAGCTTTTTCATTTCTGTTTTAATCACAGCTTGAACTGGTTACTGACAAATTTCCCTAAGAAATGTTTAATTATTTTTAATTGTGGTGAATCCATTAATGGTTTTTAAAAGCCACCAGTTTAAACAGAGAGTCCCAGGTTTGGGGAAATGGGCCTCAGGCATAAGAGATTCAACTCCTTCAGCTTATCAAAGGAAAGGTTTGGGAGGGTGATAACTCCTGGTAGACAGCTAGAAAAGATCAGTAATAGGACTGATTCAACCACATGGAAATCAGCAAAATTACTTCCTGTTTAGAAACTAATAATGGCTATCTTGAATTAAGACACTATTTCCTTGACGAAAGATGAATAAAAACCAGAGGTGAGCAGACAGAGCAGCAGTGCTGCCATGTCCTGGAACCCTCGTGGCAAGATTCAGTATCTTTCTAGGATGCATGCTCTGATACGGCATTTGTGAGTCTTTGCTTGTACACACGTGAAGGGGAGGAAGATGTGATTCAAAAAATCCTGGTCTCCCCAGGGCCTACAAAATGATTTGAGAGAGATTCCGATTCACTTCCATAATGGGACATGCTCATAAAAGATGCAGCTCTATCCTAAGACAGTAATTATAATCATATTTCATGCGTTGCAGCATCAGCTGGTTACTCATAAATGTAAGAGGATTTTTTTCCCCCAGATTTGTCAGCCAGCTTCCATTCCCGGGGTGTTCTACCTCCCTCCAAAGCACTGGTGGCAGGAGCTCCATGTGCTCTGGGATACCAAGAATATCCTTGGATGACTTGGTGACATGCCTTGCCTCCAAGTCGTAGGTTATTCTGGTCATCAGATTTTAGAGCAAGGTTGTAAGGAGCTGGCTTATTTTGGGGTATACTTGCTTTTTGACAACTTCTGCCATCCAGAGTTGATTTCTTATGGCATGTGAGGAGACCCCACCTCCCCACACCCTATCAGTGGTGGTGCCCTGCTTTCATTTGTTCCTCCCTGTACTAGGCACTGCAGTAACATGATGCCTGAAATACTGGCTTGGCCTTTAAGCTTGAGCAAAAGCATGCAAGGAAAACTTAGGAAAGCTTGTGATATCGAGTTAACCTGAGTAGGTGGACTTAACTCTGGGCAGGTACTACGAAACTGCAAACCCTCCCTCAGAGTTACCAGGGAAGAGGTTCCACGTCATGTAGCATGTGGCTACTCCATAGGAGGTCAACTATCTGCATGGATTTGTACAACTTTCCCAACATCATCCTTTCTCTTATAACACCTAACAACCTGACATCAAGTGGAAGCATCTCACAACACAAACACATTTTTAAGGACATACTGTGTGTGTATTGCAAGTCATGCTGAAATAGCTGTAAAAGCCAAGTATCACTGTTTTAAGTTAAATCATGTGTTCCCATCCACAGAGCTCAACTGCGATCCCACCTGCTTCTGGTCCTACCAGTCACTCGTGTTAGCTCAGGCTGCTGACTCCACTTTCCCTCCATCGTAACTTTTACTCTGTATTCCCTTTTGGCATAAAGCATTCCACTACCTCTACTTTCAGCTGAAGTAATACCTTTCTCAAGCCCAGGCAACAACAGCAGCCATCAGAAGTGGTGGTGTGAGAAACAAAGCCCCGTGTGGAACACCTCTCCATCTGCTAACGGAATTGTTGGGCCATGCCAAGAGACAAAGAGCCACAAGGGTGACTGCTACAACTAGATGCTGTCCAGCAAAAATCTTTACAACTTTTGGAGCTATCTTCACAAGGATTCTGGATGTGCCATCCGTATTTTCTCAGAGATAATACTACTATGCTTGGTGTGAACTGGTAAGGCCACAAGGAACACATTCCTGTTTACAGGAATGCTCTACAAAAAGATGTGCTCAGATCCAGGCATGCACTTCCCTTCAGTGTGAGGTTTTCTGGTATGAAATTTGGGTTCATCCCAAGTTCAAAATTTTTCAGTTTAAATTAACAAAAAGGCACTTTACAAAGCCCTCAAACCCCTCAAATTACAGACCATAGCAAGAACCAGCTAAAGCAGCACATAACTAAGAACCCAAATGAATTTGCCAATTCCCCTTTCACTTTCTGGATATTCATTCCCTTGAGCTGGAACACCAAACCACAATCCGCACATGAATAATTCAGCCTCTGTTTCAGAGTTGATTCAACAACAGAAATCTCTGTCCTCCCTCTGTGTCAGATATTTGTAGGAGTATTTCTGACCACCTTGCTTTGAAGTCACTCACTGAAATGCAGAGGGGTACACATTACAATTGTAGGAAACTCTTCCTCCACAGCAGCACTTCCAGAAGGCCACTCTAACCGTGCAGGTGCCACTAACCCCGATAAATCTTTCTGTCCTCAGGGGACACCAGGATGAAGCGATGTTTTAACCACATCCATTTTTCTCTACTCACACTCCTTGCAGAGCCTGCAGTAGCTGTAAACATCCAAAGCCACCCTGAAGCAGTTCTCTGATGCCCAGCTGAGCACTGATTTGGATCGCTTTTATGTGAGCAGAAGAAGATTCTGCAATCTCATCCACTATATAAATATTTAAGCAAACAACAGGTCTCTAGTGTTTTCTTTACTAGGGCATGAAACAACATGATGGTCCATCAGATACTAGGATGCAATCCCAGTGTGTTGGTCTAGGAATCGGTGAGGGGAACCCTTGTCCTGCAGGCAGGCTTGCTGCCACAGCCTCATGAGTGTCCATCTGTAGGTGAGGGGGAAGGTCCTGGCACTGTGCAGCCCCTGAAAGCAGACAAAATCCCTTGCAGTTTGCACCACAACCTTTTCCTCCACCCCAGCCTCTCAACACAGGGATGAGACACACTTTTCCCACCCCTTGGAAGGTAAGGATAGGATAGGAGGCAGCTGTAACCAAGAACTCAGTGCATGAGCCTTGACGGTTTGGGTCTCAGTCATCAACCTACTGCAACCTACTCCTCTGTCCTTCTGCCTCAGATTTCCTACATCAGCTATCCTACTGTCATTTGTGGTTTTCCATTTCCAGACATAACCTTATAACAAGATTGGTCTTCTGACCTTCAAAACGAAGGGGCTTTTTCTGGTGGGCTGCGTGAACAAACACCTGCCCAGGTAAAACCTGTGCCTTTAGATTCCTGGGCCTGTATCTCATATTTGTTTTTCTCAATGTACCACATACAGCATGAGTCTTAAAAATCTGCTTACTGGTGTTTTACACACTGGGAGTAGTGACACATCAGACGAGCTGGGCACTGTGTTTGCAGCAGCCCTTGGAAAAGCACCTCTGGCTCCCTGAGAGCTCCTATCTGTAAATGTCACTTAATTGTCTAAGAAAAATTTGGCTGACCTTTCAATTACTGGTAATAGAATAAAAGCAATAAAAGAGTGTACGTGACAGCAAGTGTCACCAATAGCCATTTGCTGCTGCCTTGTGCTGACTGGGAGCGCCAGGGAGAATTCACCCCACTCCAGGGCTGCTTTTTCAGTACAGCACCAATAAAAGGGCAGGAAATAGGGGACGAAAGGAATCACCTCACATCCCTCCCTATCCTGATTCCACAAACAAACCCAGAAAGAGGATTTCTGAGTATCTGGGGAAAAAAAAAGTCCTATATTCTGAGGGAACTTAAGAGTCCCTCAGTGTTTTCAGGGTAAACATTGCTCTCACCCAACAGCTTTGTAACATCAAGTAGTTGAAACTATTTGCAGCTAAAGTATGAGGTACATGTGCAAACCCTCCCTACTGTGCAGAGGGAGGGTCAGGATGGAGCTTACACACTGTTTACTGCCTAGCAGAGCCTATCTCATGGCTCTGCCACTGAACTCGGTCACTGTTTTTTTGCCTGTTGTGTTTGGTATTTGGTAAGACACTCGAGTGGATGTTACAGTACAGCAATCTCAAATATGAAACCCAGTTTGTAAATTAGCTGTTAGCAGCTCTCATAAACACTTCTCAAAGTCCTCCTCCAGCAGCGGAAATAGCTGTTCACTCTAAACTGACAGTCTATTGATTTAAGATCAGAAAGGCTTAGTTGGCAAACTCCTCGTGCTGGTGCCTGACTCATGACTAAGAGATCTCTCTCAGTTCTCTTCAAGCAGGAAGACAGCAAATACTAATCAAGTTTTTCACTTCCTTCCCAGTCACCGCTGGGATTCCTGAAAAACAGAGACACCTTGGCAGAGATCACTGTTGCTTAAGACACCTTGGTATCTTGTATATTCCTCAAAAATGGTTATTTATGTATCATCTATGCATCAGGTCCTTCCTGCTGCGGAAACTTAGAACCTATATGAGAACTTAAAACACTTCTGGCAGGTTCAAGACCTGGTAGCCTATTTTCAATATGTGTACTGAAATGAGTTAAAAAATATTACTACATGTAGAAACTTACACCGTCAGATCTATCTAAATTCAGTGATCTCACCACAGCAGCCATTTCCAAATTAACCAGCAGAGCCAGGACATTACCAGGTGCCGTAGGGAGATGTTCTCCTGGTTCCTTCACCTTCAAGACTGTAATTATGGCTGCTCACAGATCTGTGGATGCTCTCAAGTGAGACCCTTCTTTATGTATTCTTTACTCTTACAGGCTAACTTGTGTATTAATTTATTCAGCCAGCTCTTTCTTATACAGTCCTGAATTAAGTAGCAAGTAAGTAAAATAAAAATACAACCGAGCATGTCAATGTATCTCTTCCTCTTTCACACATACACCTACACACAACTACCCCATCACACACACACACATTGTAGCTGAGTGTTCACCTCCTGTTCTTTCCTTCCAGCTTGTCACAGACTAAAATAGTGATGTGATGGTTTCCACCATTCCTGCTACAACTTTACTGCCTTGGTCAGTTAAAATGCCTCATGCACAAGAAACTGTTTTCAGGGAGGTGGATGAGAAAACCAATCCCTGAAAACTACAAATTCTGGTCTTTGAATCCTGCTGAAAAAAGTCTTTTAAAGAACAAACAATCACCTGAAACAAGTACCACCTGATTGTGACCCAGAGTTCCTATTAACTGTGTCCTCTCAAGCCTCCCAACTCTTACTAATTCTCTATAATGTTTTGTTTCACAAGCAATTGTCCACGTTTATTAATTTCTGTATCTACCTCATTTGCACTTGCAAAGAATAAACAGGAGGCAACATCTGAATGGTCGCATAAAACCAGAATCAATTATTTTTATACACAATCTAATTCATACAGCAAAAAAGGGAAGGACGGGATTTCATTGTTTGGTTTGGTCTTGGTTTTTTTTTTCCCTCTTTATCATACTTCCAAAATCAGCTGCAAGAAATTGCATATACACATTGCACCTAAGCAAATCTAGCAAGCAAGCAAATATCCAGTAAGCACCTCCAAGCATGTTCTGCTGACTACAGAACTAACCTGACACTTGCTAATGTAAAAAACTGGAAATGAGGAAAAGATTTAGGCAAAACTAGGCCGTCAAATTGTACTGGGTTAATTAAACTATAAAATAAGACTGCACGATCTTAAGGGCCTTTTCAACCCTAACCATTCTATGGTTTTATATACCACAATTCCCAACAGTAATGTAAGGTTTGCAGTGTCTACAAAAACTCTTTCAAAAAGCACAGAAGGACACCAATATCCAAAAATTCTTTAAATCCTCAAACAACTGCTTTCTTTAGTTATACAGTTCTTCACTATAACAGGGAACCTGTGATTGAAAGTCCAAGCAAAGCCTACAAATTCATTCCATCTGTAATGACATTACTTTTCCCCACATTATTACTGATTAACACCGAGATGTGCATCAACTCATAGCAAACAAAAGGTGTTCAAAAGGCCTACCTGGCTCTC